TGCCCCTTCGTCAATCTTTATTCCCGTACTCCACATTTCTTCATGGCACGTAAAACCAGCCAGTATTTTACATATTTACTTGATTATCTGGTTCCTTCCACTGGAATGTAACTTCCACGAGATCAGGGGCTTTATCCCCAGACTGCAGAACAGCATGAGACACACAGGAATACTCAGTATAAATATTTGTCAAATGAATGAACAATGAATGGATGGCCTGCTTTCAAGCTTCCACACTACTGATACATGGTTACTTGCCCTAGGCAAATAAGGAGGTGGTGCCCAGCCAGGAAATGAAGCCCCTGTCTTCTATTATGCTGTTGAGAAACCAGAGCACTAAAAGTTGAACCGAAGATTCACATAAACTAACTACTCTCCCATTTACCAGAATTCCAGCTTTTCCAGTGATGATGTACATAGAGCTCCACTCCCTGTCAACCAGGCTTCTCCTATTCTTCACTTGAAGAAATCTTAGTACTCCTTCCCAGCATGAAAGGCCTTTCCAGCTATCAAATAAGCCAAACGAAGCCAATCTTCTGGCAGCTGAGTACCCTAAAACATTTAATTTGGTACTTGTTAATGTCAAAGCAGACCAAGTTCTTTCTTGCTTGGGCAAAACAGCCCTTTCGGAGAATAGACAAAATACCTGGCTCCCAGTTGTTGAGCCAACAGGTTAAATTTTCTCTGAAGAACACTCTGATTTGTGAAAGCTGGCAAATAATTTAGAAATCGAAAACATATTACTTGTCTCATCCATTGCTGAGCCCCGCCAAAGATGGATTTCATCTTCTTTCTCCAAACCAGGGAGGCAGAGGCTTTCAAGAGACACAATGCTGCAATAATGCCGAAGGAAGCTGTCCAGGTTTGCTTTCCGTTCTATTGTCTTATTCTGTCTGCTCCCCTCATGTCCCAGAATTTAAGCTTAATAATTTAGAGCGGAAAGACATTTAATAAATAAACAGCCAGATTGGAGCTGTCATCTCTGCACAATGGGGCTATTTGCATCAGCAACCCCCCTCTCCCAGCTTGCTTCGGCTAAAACAATCCCATTTGCTATTTTCATAAAATTAGTTCCTCTGCAGTTTCTATTAATCAGAACGTCCTTTGGAGAGAATTATATTGGGATTTCATCACTATCCGAGTTCAACTGCTTTGCAAATCTAATGAATTTTTATCACCTGTATGAGTGGCAGAGAAGGTAAAAATCTTGGGTGGTCTGATGTGAGCAGGCAAAGAGCTCTCCTCTCATAAGCTGAGAAGCCTCCCCCGCCACACCACTGAGCAGGTTTCTCCCCCAAACACATATTTTATATATCTACAATTCTGAATCTTCTTGGGGCCATGGACTCATACAAATCTTAGAATGGCTATGTATACTCTCCCCAGAAAAGCCTACACATGTATATATACACTAACCTCTACCATTCAGTGGGTTTGTAGACACTCACCCTCCCCTCTCTACACATATGGTCCATCCATATATGCCAGAGCGAAAACTGTGTCCTAAGCCTTTCTAACCATCCTCATCTCCCTTAAGAGCCTTAGACTGGAACAGAAAGTCAGCTGCTTCTGAATCCCTTTGCTGAAGGAGTAAGATTTTGTAAAAGAGAGAAAGAGCTTAAAAGTGAAAAAGTTTTTCACGATGGCCATACAGCTTTTGAGAAATGAGAAAACTGGAAAACAGTAGACAACACATATCGGTTGAAATAATGAAAATCCAAGTATCCATAAATCGATTACAGTGCACTGCATTTGTCTGGATGAGACGTGATCGAAATCAGGGAAGTGTTCGATGAATCTCCTCGCCTCCAGACTAGATACCACCTTTCCCACCCTAAGATAAGCTCTGCTTGAGAAGACACAGAATATATGAAAGAAACCTTGGGCCAATGGAACCAGGGTTCTAATATCAGCTCCGTCCACTAACTATGTAATTTTAGGCAAGAAGAAACTTATTACTATTGATGTGGTTTGTTTGTTTTTTTTAATTAACATTACATGATTATCAAAGTCTGTTTCAGTTCCAGCATTCCATGGGATCTGATTCATTAGTGATCTCTGAGATAGAAAGGATCAGAACTTTTTCTTAAGGGCCCAATAGTAAGTATTTTAGGCTTATGACCCATACGGTTTCTGTATTTACTACTCCATTCTACTGTTGTAAAGTGAAAGCGACCATAAACAACATGTAAATGAATAAGCATGCCTGTGCTCCAGCAAAACTTTACTTATGGACACTGAGATCTGAATTTCACGCTTTTCTTCTTTTGATTTTTTCTAACCATTTAAAAATGTAAAAATTATTCTTAGCTTGGAGGGCATACACAAAATAGATGACAGGACAGACTGGGCCCACAGGCCATAGTTTGCTGACCTCTGGTCTATAGCATAAGGTAAACATTATAATCTGGAAAATTATGGTGGTAATTCTGGGTGACCTTGGAAGATCGGTAACTTAGGTTTAACTACTGACAATATAACTGCAGAAAGTTTTTATTTACCTGATTTCTCAATTTAGAAGAACAGAACAATGGTAGCTTTTGAGTCTGAGCTAATAACCAACAATTACCTAAGTTTTTGGTAAATTTTCAGACCTGCAGAAATGCTAAAAGAATCACACATAAGAAAATGGATACAAAAAATTCAGGGCTCCCTGTCAGAAAAAGTTTTGATAACCATAAATGAACAAGAAAACTTTGTCTTCTCTGAAATCATTTCTTGTACGCCATTACCCTAATGACCTCTTTTTGCTACCCTACCTCTATCAGGCAGCACAGCAAATGATTTTATACATTGGAGAAAGAATAAATTAGACATTGGTGTTTATTGGTGTTGCTTGGACTTTTTTGTTTGTTTAGAAAAGAAAACTGTAGTTAAACAAAATGATATGCACACCTGTATGGCACATGTGTGCATTGAACAAGTACACTATGAGTGATACATACATAGTAGAGACGTGAAGCAATGTGGAGAGGCACTATGTAACACACATACAGAAGACAATTTTTAAAAAGATAAAGATTGGATAATCAAGTAATAAATCTTCTTTAGAGTGAATTTTGATTAAGAGATGGCAAAAGACGGAGTACTATGATGATAGCACTTCTCAATTTCAATGAGAGGGTAGGATACCATTATTTAATCAGAAAATGAATAATTTCTCCCAGTTAAAGGGTGAGATAGACATGGTTCTTGGGCAGAGGGTCCCTTCTTATGAGAAAACCTAAAATGTTATATCCAGTCATGAAGATTTAAGAAGTTTGGAGTCTCTCCTCACTCATACCCTATTTTTAATTCATAATTTAACAAAAGTCAGCTAGACCATTAGAAGTATAAGAAGATTAACTTTCCCAAACTCAAACTTTTGAACACTTTTCCCCAAAACATTAAGGACTCAGAACTGGTCCTGACCATTTGGTCTACACAATGTTATTTTCCATTATTTGTCTCCACTCTGGCTTGGACCTGTCCTCACATTATTTCCCAGATACTCAGTGCTCATTCTTGTGTGAACCTCTTGTCCAAACGATTTTCTCTTCCTGGATTCCCTTCCAGCTCTGTACCACCTTTCCCATTCCACATTAGCTCTAGCTATGCCATGAAGATCCACATTAACTCCAGCCAAAACAATATTTCTCTCAAATAATACAAGTGAAGAAGTTCTCTGGAAACTACAAAGTGCTCTGTAAATATGAAGTATTTTATTCTTTGGGGCTATTAACTGTACATTTGGCCCACTGTTATAACTTGCTTTAAAATGTTTCCTAATTGCTGTTGACATTAGCCAACCACAGGCTATTAAGGCAAGAGTCACAGGTATTTCTTTTGTATCTTCACAGTCTCTACCAGTGCTTAGCTACAGTTAACACTCAATTTCAATGAAATGAATTAAAATAATGGCTTTCTTAACCACAGAGTTCCTCATTGGGCCAAGTAAGGTCAAGCCGTTAAACACATAAGAAATCGTTGGTTAGTACATGACTGCAAATGAAATCTTGAAAGTAGAATAAATTTGAGGCATACATTCAATGGAGTTCAACTGTCTTCTTCCACTTCATCTGTAAAGCTATGATTCAGCAGTTGAATCCCCTAGATCAAAGATTCAGTGTTCCAGGACTGAATAGTTTGCTTCACGTTTCAGAATGTTGTCTAAGGTCAAAGGTTCAAATATCACAGCTCTCAGATTTGGTACTGTTTTTTGTCTGTTTTCCCTTCCTGATTCAACAATGGAGCATGCTGTCCTTGGGTTGGCCTGATTTATGGATCTTTCAGTCTGACAGACTACAGCCTCAGAACAAAATCATGGCAAGTTTTAGTTCGCATTTAGAGCACTCTGCTAAAAGCATGGAGCAGCTCTGGTTCCAGGTGCCTGGCAATGTGGCTACACACTCACTTGATTGACCCTGGCCTCTATTCCCAGTTCTGTCTTGTGAGTAGAATGAGCCTTGGATAACGTAAACATAAGGCCACATAACATAAGGCGAGGTAAGAATAAATGAAAACTTGATGTTATCACAGCTAGTGCTTCGGACTTCGTTCTCTCCAGGAATGTTGTTAGGGGACCCTGAGTGAACTGGCATGCCCCCTCTCCAAGGCCTCATCTGACTTGCCCACCGGCGCCAGTGGGTCGGGGACTGAGATGCTCATCAAAACCGTGAACCCGCACTAATGTCCAGACTACTATACCTATCTCTCCATTTACAGGTGGGGGGATCGGAGCGCCAAGAACCTCCGCGTCTCGGCGCGGCAATGAAATCTCCATAGTAACAGCGAAGGAGGCCGGAAAAGCAGCTCTCTTCCGCCCTACATCCCGCCCTCCGGCTAGATTGACCAATGGTCCCGCGGGTTACCTAAGGGATGGTGTGATTGACAATGAATGGGGCGTACGCGGAGCTGGGACTACCTCTATCCAATCGAGCTTTAGGCTGGAGCCAGGACCGACCGGCCCTGGCCAATCGGAGGGCCTAACGAGTACGATGTGCCCACCCACCACTCTCTGCTCGGCCCTAGGCCGTGGCGGGCGTAGGCAAATGATGGGGAGCTGGGCGTTGAAAGGGCGGCGCTGATTAGCGAATCTGGGACCGTCTGGATGAAAGCCCACTTGTGATTCGTTCTGAGTAGACCAAAGCCTGCATGGGCTGGAACCCGCTGGACTGGGAGTGTGAGTAGGGGTTCCTGAGGGGAGGCCAGGGAGGGCGGAGGTGAGGAGTGGAGCCACCCGTGGAGGAGAGGATGGTGGAGGAGAGAATGGCTGAGGCTGGGGCCGAAGGGGCTTGAGTGAGGAGGGTGGGCCAAGGAGGCTGGAAGGGGCGGGGCGCTGACCTCTCAGACCACCCTGACCTCCCATCCGGACTGCATGCCCGGTGGCCAGTAAATATTTCACTGCGGGCAGAGAGAAGGAGGAATGTTTTATTTTTCATGTTTCTAGGAAAGTAAAATGTTAGCATCTGACTCAATACCTTATGACTCAAACCTTAAGTTCTGTCCCAGGTACCCAGGGATAACAGACTAACACTGTAAAGGTGATACCCGGCGGCGGGGTCAGGGACAGGAAGGGAGGGAGGACCGGGGGGCGGGAGCGGGGGGGGTTGAAACCGGCGAGTGGGCGGGAAGGTGAGACGCGGAGGGGAAAGGTGAGACTCAGGCGGTGTCCTCCTGTCGCTGGACAGAATCAGCACAGGCCCGGAGATAGGCCAGAGTCCCAGTGAGTGATGTGTCCGCTGTGCAACTCTTAAGTGCCTGGTCCTGGGCCTGGGTGATGTAATGACAGACAGGCGTCGCCTGGCACTGCCATGTGCCAGCACTGCCCAGGAAAAAGGGGGGAAGGACGTCTGCATCCATTGATCCCCTTTTCTATCAGGTAAAGATGATGCCACACCCATGGCATTTAGTTAGCTTGGCAATTGATTTTTACTCAACTTGCATGTTACTTAATTACAAAGGTAGAGGTGTTACCCTATAGTGAAGTGGTTAAAGCAGAAAAATAAAGCGTTAAGCACCCCCCCGCCAATTATTTTCGAAGGTATAAAAACAGCTGTAAAGGAAAATGAAAAGGAATTCTGCAGAAGGCACTTCACTCTTGTAACCCACTGTTTTCTGCTGCCTTCGTGGGCTTGAGTCTGTGAAAATCGGGGAGTGGGTGAGTTATCTGTCCCCCCACCACAGCAGCACTAGGGCCACATTACCCTATAGGAAATCCACCTTTATTCTGGACAGTAAGTCATTGTGTAATGGCCAGTAGTAGTCTCACATGTGATCCACTGGTGAGCAGTGCATTGTTAAAACAATAGGCTGTGTAGATGTGCAGTGGCCAGTCACCTTGATGTATGGCACTATCAGTTTTCTCTGAGAGCTGGGTGAAAAGTACCTACACCCAACTGTTAAATGAAGAATGCACTACAGAAAAGTTTTGGGTAAACTCTTTCCAAAGAAAGACCTCACAGCATGAATACAAAGGGGAAAAAATTGACCCTGTAGTTGCTCTTCTTGGTGTTCAAATTTAGACAGATTATTTTATTTCAACTTCAATCAACCTGCTTTAAATGCCACAGGCATGCAGTTAAAGGACTTACTCTGGAACCAGATTGGCTAGACTATCAGTTCTCAAAGAAGGTTTGTAAAAGCCCTGGACATTAAATAAAAACAAAGTTGTTTTTATTTTAAATTTTAATCAAATTTTGCTCAATTTACCTATTCCAGTATGGAAAATAATCATGAATATTATTCACATTAAAATCACACTGAATTAACAAGATAAAATGACTAGATTTTCACTCCTTCCCCACAACAGCACTCTCTGCTATATCCAGCCCTTCCTTTCACTCTATGCTATATCTAGTCCTTCCTTTTACTGAGAAAATGTATGGTTTAGTTATAAAATGATGAACCTCATTCTTATCAGAGCTTGGGGGGGTATTTATCTCATTATTTTAAATCCATACCATATACTGAACCCAATGTCTCATGAACTGTTATGCTTCTGTGGGTGGTTGATGGGCAATATTTCTAGTGATCCCATCTTCAACTATCATTTGCCCTGTGTTCTAGATGTTATAGTTGGTCTGAGTCTTACAGGTTATTTGTGTGATATCCAAAACAGCAGCAATTAAACTTAACCAGTTATCTTGTTAAGGGCACTGCCATCAGCTCAGTCAACCAGGTGAGAAACCTGCGTCATTTCTAACACCTCCTTATATTCCTTTCCACCTCCACAGCTAAGACGGAATTCAACATCTCTTATATGGAAAATTGTAATAGCATCCCAATTGGTCACTAATCTCTGTTCTCTGATCTCAATTCATACGAACCCTGCTATGAGTTACCTTTTTAAAAATTAAGAATTATCTGAAGTTTTTCAAAAATAGTTAATATTATATGGGGTAGTATAACAGATACCTATGCCCTACCAACTAGGTTAGCAAACATTAACATTTTGGCGCACCTGCTTAAGTGTTTTTTTTGTTTTTTTTTTTAAGAAATAAAAAATCACAGATTAGATTCAGATTTTTTGTTCTCTTTCCTGTTCCCATGCCCCTTCCTTCCCTCCTCCCCAGAGGCAGACACACTTTTGAAATTATGTCTCATTTATTCCCATGTTTTTATACTTTCACTGTATATGTGTACACCATACACTATATATTGCTATTTAGTTTTTTTTCTATTTTAAAAATACAGGTAGTATCATACTATGGGCTTCATTTTGCAGCTTGATTTTTGTCACTCAACATTATTTCTGAGACATATCTATATCAATACAGATAGACCAAGTTCATTCATTTTAAGTGTTCGTTATGAGTATGTAATATTGTATCGATTCCCTTATTGATGGACAGTTAGGTTTTTTCAGATGTTTTCCTATATAAATGAACATCCTCGTACATGTCTCTTCGTGCAAGAGTTTTTCTAAAACAGTGGTTCTCCAAGGGGCAGTACTGCCCCGTGGTCATTTTGGAATTCACAAGGGCATATTTGGTTATTGTGATTTTGGAGGCACAACGGGGTTTACAGAGCAGGGCTGGGATGCTAGATGTTCTGCAGTGCATGGACAGTCCCTCACAGTGAAGAACTGCCCTACAGCCTGTGCAGTTTTTGAGTGTCCAACAGGATACTCATTTATAATCTGAGCCTAGAATCTAACTTTATTTTTTATATAAACATACTGTATTTTTTGGCACAGTTTAATGTAGTAAAATTTCCAGGAATGCAACTCTAATGTAAATCAAGGGGAAATTATACTTATTTGTGGTTTGGAACTTTAACAAGAGTTGTTCGTCACTCTAGAAAAATCGCATAACTGAAGGCAGCCCAGCTCGTGGTATTTGAGTTGCCATACAACACACCTGCATCAGCCTGCATTTGTAGCTTTTGCGTTCATGGCGATTCTAAGTTTAGGTGCAAGCATCTGACTGCTGTACTTCATTATGTATTCTAGTGTAGTCAGCCTGAACATTTGTATATTTAAACATATGCTGTTTTATTATGAATTACTTTCCATTTAAAATTGGCTTCTCTGTGTGATATAAAGTAGAGATGTAATTTTATTATTTTCTGATTGGATAATCATTCGTCCCAATTCTATCTCTGAAATCCACTGAATCACAAAGCCAGCTCTGTTCTGTACAAAGCTCTCATAAATGCATGGATCTGTTTCTGGGTTCTCTATTTTATTCCACTGGTCCATGTGTCTTTATGCCACAATCACACTGTTTTAATTACCTTGGTTTTATAATTTGTCTTGTGGCAGTTGGTAACAAGAAAGGCAAGTTTCCATCCTAGTTCTCAAAATTGTTTTTGCTATTCTTGGGCTTTTGCTCTTCCATATGAATTTAGGATCAGTTTTCAAGTTCCACAAAAAAAATATATATTTTGAGATTTTTGGTTAAAATTTCATTGAATTGATAGATGAAGGAAAATTAAGATCTGTTAAGGTTGAACCAGCCTATCCAGGAACATGAGTTATGTATTCCAATCTGTTTTATTTTTTTATTCACATCCTTTTTTAAAAAATCTTTGAATAAAGTTTTATAATTTTTGCTATAAAAATCTTACATATCTTTTGTTGGATTTATTCCTGCTTATACATATATACATGTTCATACACACATCTTTTTATTATGAAAGTTTCAAATATATTTAAAAGTATCGAAATAGTATAGCAAACACTCATGTACTCATCACCCATTTTCAACAATTAACTCATTAGCCCCCTTCATTTCATCTCCCCCAGATAATTAAAAGTTCTAGACATCATTTTCTATTATCTGTGTCATGTGTATGTATGTATGGTGTATATATCATAATCTTTTAGCATATAACCACAATACCATCACATTAAAATAAAATTTTAACTTAAAAAAATAACTATTTTTTTAAGATCCTCAAATATCCAGATACTGTACTATTCAGATTTCTCTAGTCATCTCATAAAAAGTTGTGGTTTTTTTTACAGTTGGTTTTGTTTGAATCAAGACCCAAAATTCATTTGGCTGATAGGTCTCTTCAGACTCTTTAAACTTTTTAATATAAAAATTTTAGTGAAATGTAACACGCATACAGAAAAGTATACAAATCAGAAGCATACAAAGCTAAATACAATTTAACAAAATTAACGAAGCCATGTAACCGACACCCAGACCCAGAAACAAAATTTCGTAAGCATCTCAGAATCTTCTTCATGCCCCCTCCACTCACTGCTTTCTACAAGTTAACCATGCTTTTGACTTACGACCCCAAAGTTAGTTTGATCTGTTTTTGGACATTATATGCATGGAATTACACAGTACAAACTTTTGCCTCTAGCTTTTTTCAGTCAATATTTGCGAAACATCCACATTGCTGGGTTTTTAGCCATTCTGATGGTGTCTAGAGGTACTGCATTTTGGTTTCCATTTGTAATTTCCTGATGACTAATAAAGCTGAACACCTTTCACATGTATATTGGCCATTTATATATCTTTTTTGCCAAATATTTTTATTTTAATCTGATCTATCAGTTTCTGAGAGAGAGAGATTAAAATCTTCCACTAAATTTGTGGGTTTGTCCATTTATTGCAATGATTCTTTTGTTTTTTGGCTTTATATATTTTGAGGGTTTGTTTTAGGTTCCTATTTGTTTCAAGGTGTATCTTTTTGTTAAATTATTCCTTTTGTGACTGTCTATATTAATATTTTTCAAATCTTTGCATTCTATTCTGCTTGATACTCATATTGCTTCCCCGGATTATTTTTTAGTTTTGCTTATTTTTTAATTGTAGTAATACACACTTAACATTAGATTTACCATCTTTAGCGTTTACCTATTTTTTTAAACGTGCATATTTAGCTTAACAAAGCCTACGGGTAATCATTAACCCTCACCTCCTTCAGAGCAAAATAATAACCGAGGTTAATAATGATTTAACTTGGAATTGTCCTTTCTCATCTTCCATAAAACTGTTGATAAATATTTTAGTTCTTGTTTTTAACTCAAAAAATTAGTCATTTCTCATTAAAGAAAGGTTTACCGTCGGTATTTTCCAGTATTTTTCTCACCATCTCTCCTTCCATCTCACACCTTTCTTGGTTCATTCTCCTCCTTGTTGAAGTGTATCTATGAGAGAGAATTCCATTTCAGCCTTCTTATGTCTGAAAACATCTTTATTTGACACTCATTCTTGTGGGAACCTTCATGCTGACCTTGGTGGCACCCCTACAGAGGGGTATTAGTTTGTCTCCGCTGGCATACTTTGGGCTTCTCACTTTTAGTCTAGTTTTCATGTTAATCTTATTACTTGGGATTCCATATCATATTGGTTCTGTGATTTGAACCCCACACCTGCATGTAATAATATAGGGTTGGGATTCAGATTTCTCTGGGATTCTTTTTTCACCCACGGCCTGAAGTACTTGGCCAGCTTTCTTCCAACTAAGTCAGCAGCAACATTTTGAGTCCCTATGTCAAAGACAGGTGAGCCCTTTCAGGGCCTACCGTTATGCCGTGTTCTTAGTTGTAGTGCTCGGGATCATGGGTCTGAGACCTCATCTGTCCAGGAGGGACTGCTCCTAAGGGCTGTATCAGGTTCCGGTGGACCTTTGGACTCAGCTCCTGCTCACCACTCAGGCTTTGAGTTACATTGTTGTGTGTAGCATTTACAGGCTTTTCTTTATTGCTTTCAAGCTCCACTGTGTGTTAAATTCTTTTCGTTCTGTTTTATTAAGCATTTTTCTGTGTTTGCTGTTGTGCAAAGAACTTCCCTCATTAGCGCTGTCCAGCATGTTTACCTAAGCCTTGGTCGTCTTTGTAAAACGAGATATGATTCTGTCACTCCTGCATTTGATTTTCACGGACTTGTTAGTACTGCTCCATTTATTTATCCAACAAATATTTATTGATTATAATCTCTGGTAAGAAGTAGGGATACTGTGGTGAACAAGATATAAAGTCTGTCCTCAAGGAATTTTCTATTCTACTTGGAGAGACAGAAAATGAACCTGTAAACAATAAATAAAAATGTGAACTACAGTTTGTGACACGTGCTCTGAAGGAGATAGCATGATGGGGAGTCATCGTTTTGGGGGTTACTTTAGCTAGGGCAGTCAGGGATCTCTCTAAGGAGGCTGCATTTAAAGCTGGGATCAGAAGGTTGAGGAGAGGCCAGCCCAGCAAAGAGGGGAGGGCTTGTTTAGGGGCAGGGGTTAATTCCAGGCGGTGGAAACAGCAAGTGCAAGGATCCAGAGGTGGGGAAACACTTGGCATGTTAGAGTTAATGAGGTGACACCCACGTGCTCTCATGAGGGGCGAGTGTGCCCCAGTAAGATTTGCGAGGCAAGTGGGAGCCACGCCTCCTGCTGCCGCTCTTCCCTTGACCCTGTCGTCTCGCCACACAGATTCTTCCCCACGTGGGCTGTGCAAAGCTGCCTCCTCGCTGTCTCAGGTCGCATTGTACTTTGTTTTCTACTTTTCAGAATGGGATATGGATAGTTATTTACATGACGGTGTTCTCCAGTAGGGCTTTAAGCTGCTTCTGTCAGAGGATATGTCTTAGTTACCTAGTGATCCCAGCCCACAGCACAATGCTGTACGTGGTAGGCACACAAAAAAATGCTGATTGAACAAATGTTTGTTTGTTTTTAGCAGTTCATGCTTAGAGTTTCCTTTCCAAAACCTTTATAACAGAACTTTTCATAGATAATAATTTTTGTGGTGTTTAAACCATCAGGGTAAAGAAAACTATTAACCTGAAGAAAATTTTGTTTGCTTTAGACTTGTCTCTGATACTGCAAGGGAAAACCAGGGGTGGTCCTATAGTGTGGTATTACCCTATAATGGGTCAAGTGGTAGCCCCCCAAACCATATGTCCACACCCTAACCCCCAGAACCTATGAATGTGATCTTTGGAAAAGGGGGTGTTTTCAGATGTAATTAAGTTAAGATGTTGAGATGAGATCATACCGGATTATTTGGGTGGACTCTAAATTCAACTACAAGTGTCCTCATAAAAGACAAGAGAGAAAGAGACACAGAGCAGAAGCCATGTGCACATGGAGGCAGAGGTTGGAGGGATGTCACAGGCCAAGGAATGTCGGGAGCCACCAGAATCTGTAAGAGGCAGGACAACTCTTCTCCCAGAGCCTTCGGAGGGAGTGTGGCCAAGAAGACACTTAATTTCAGACTTCTGGCCTCCAGAACTGTAAGAGAACCATGGCTTTCTGTTGCTGCAAGCCACCCGGTTTAGTACACATACCTCCCATTATACCTCAGTTACCTCTGCTATCACATGGACATAATATCTATCTCAGACGCTTATTGCCGTGATTAAATGAGATATATTTATAAGGTTTAGTACACAGCGAATGTTCAAAAATAGTGATGGCTCCCCTCCTCCACCTTCTCCTCCTCTTTAAGGATTTATGAGTTTGCTTCCCTTTGTGAGTAAAAACTCAACAATAGAGTGGGACATTTCCGTCTGGTGATTGCCTGGTGAGTCAAAGCTCATACTGTGGACTTAACCTGAGCACTCCAAATTCCACATTGACCGTGGCGCTCTCGGGCCCCAGTGCCTTTTACAGCCCTTCAGTAGGGTTTCATATCAAGGGACAGTTCAGGTTCCTATTGTGGACTGGGTGCAGACCAGAACTCAGATGCCAGATTTGAGTGACCCACTTGGAGCAGAAAGCAACCTTTTAATCCTCACCAGAAAGAAATGTTTGAGTCTAAATGTGTGATTCCTATTAAGGCCTCTGAAAGTGGATCTTCCCAAAGACCTGGCAAACCAATCATCAGAAATTCCTCATAATGAGTTTGGACTTTCTGTATTTGTCTGACCACCTTCATGCACCCTAGGAGCATGCTGAAAGCAGGCAGAACCTGGAGCCAGGGGTACACCTTGTCCTGCCCCAAGGCCCAGGCAGAGCGGAGTGCAGGGCTCATGCGTCCTTTCCCCACAGATGGCTGGCACTGTCCTGGGAGTGGGTGCCGGCGTGTTCATCTTAGCCCTGCTCTGGGTGCTGGTGCTGCTGCTGTGTGCGCTGTTGTCCAGAGCCTCTGGTGTAGCCAGGTAAGGCATTCTCTCCTGCTGGGAGCCCACGGTGAAACATTTAGAAGCAAAATCGCCGATGCTCGTTACGCATTTAAAATTCAGAAGATCCATTTTGTAATTATGGACACTTTGAATGAGTTGGATTTTAACCTCTTATCATAAGCACTAACTGTGTTATTGGCTCTGAAGCAGAGGCGGGAGGAGATGGGAGGTATTTTTCAGTTCTCCCTGTAGAGGAGATGGAGGGATGTGAGATGAAAAGAAAATCTGCCTTCTCTGCCTATTGAATTTCTTGGGGTGAGTTTCTTAATTGTTCAGACTAATGGCAGATGCTTAGTCCATCCGCTAAGGCTCCAGAGCTGGGCCTGGGGAATCTGCAGACACGCTGTATGATGGCCGGCTGGCCATCACACGCCGACTGCAGAAGAGAATCAGGCCGTGGGCTGACTCTAACAACACTACGGCACTGCGCTCTCTGGCCAGACAGTGTCGGTACGAAGCAGCGAGTTACATAATTTACGAAACTATTCTGCTCTAAAACACAGAAGTGGGGGTGAGGGAGGGGCTGCTTTGGTTTTTCATGATTATGACTACACAGAGGCAAAAATAAAAACTACCAATTCTCATTCTTAGGAATTCAGAGCGACTGGGAATAAACAGGAATGCATCCAGCTGGTACCTGTCTAGGAAGAAGGGCTTTGGGATAAAGGGGAAAACATTTCTAAATTCACGGGGCAGTGTGGACAGCGGGTCTCGGTCTCGGGGCATTGTTAATGGGCCGAAACATAGAAGACTGGCCCCAGGGAAGAGCCCGCCCAGGCCTGACTGACTGGAAAAGAAACTATAAACAGTGCTTTAACGCTCTGTCTTTTGACCCCAGGTTCTCTGTCATTTTTGTATTCCTCGGTGCTGTGATCATCACGTCAGTTCTGTTGCTCTTCCCCCGAGCCAGTGAAATCCCAGCCCCAGCGGTCGAAATGAAGGTAGAACTATTGGTTTTATTTTGCCTCCTGAGTTGTAACTCTTGTTTCTCTTGATCTAGACCTCGCCCCTTCCCTGGGGTGTTCCCCGATGCCAGGTTGGCTGAACCACGTAGGAAGATTTGTTAAGTTAAAGCAAGGATGGGGAAAGCTCAGGGGGAGGTTTAAACTCTCCACACCTTCACCCAGGAAGAGAATCTTAATTCTGACTCTGGTTTGCCTCAAGCTGAACAAGCAGTAGGTCCAAAAGCCACCTCATACTATGGGGCAGGGAGAGGGAGAATGAGTTAAGAAAAGGACTAGGCCTGGTCCTGTCATATAAGTGCCCCTTCCCGATGGCCTGGGCTCAGAAATGCAGATCTGGGCCTAAATTTCTGCAGTGCCCGCAAGGTGCTGAAAGATGTAGGGGGTTTTGTTTGTTTGTTTTTTAACCTCCATGTGTTTGAATTTTTACTCTTCTGATGTGAAAAGAATACTTTTCATAGGGAGGAGCAGGGAGAAAGGAGAACAGTTTTTTGGAAAGCAGAAGTTGTACAGATAAATGAGTTCAATACTCACAGTCTTCGGGGAGTTCCTTTGGTCCTCATTCCTGGAACCACACCTGCCAATACCCACCTCTCTGAATGGATTTTTATCATCTTTCTCATAGTCCTTCTCTGGACACCCCACCTATCTGGTTCGTTCCTGGTCAGGGCTCCAGCTTTACCAGCTGGTCTCGGATACCTCTGATCTCGATAATGGTATTGAATTCTTGAGTCCCGTTATTCCTTCTATGAGCTTCTTTACTCTCAACTTCCACTTTAACTTTTTAAGTAGGAATGATGATACTATAATAGCTAACATTTTTAAGGGATTACAGTGTGTGAAATCTGTGATAAGTACATTGTGTTATCTCATTGAAATCTCAAGACGACCCTCAGTCGTGTGAAGTAGGTACTGTTATTATCCTCATATTATATGTGAGGATACGGAGGATGTAAGAGGTTAAAGTTACTTGCCCAAGGTCATCCATACGTAGAAAGAATCAGAGCAAGGATTGAAGCTGGGCTCTGTCTTCAAAACCTTCATCATTGGGGACTCAACAGAATATTAGGGGCCATCACAGAGAATTCTTAAGTGGCTCTTTGGACACTAGACAATAGTACACAAAATACATAATTTCCGAATTAAAATTCGCACATATTTCCAACTCTGTCTAGGACTAACCATGGAAAAGGGAGGAAATTTGTTCTGAAAATTCCAAGGGAAATAATATTTACCACACAATTTAAGGCATTATTTTCATCCATGTCCGGTTCTTTCATCAGCGTTTGAAAACCACTCTGGCGGTGTGAGTAGCAGGTGTGAGCTAGAGCCAGGCTCCACCTCAGCTTCCCTGTTCTAAAGGGGGAGAGCGATGAAGGCTGCTGTGTTTCTGGACTGCTGCAGATGTGACTGTTGAGAGAAAGGCACAGAGCAGACACATTCTGAAATCAATCCCTCTATCCTCTGTCATATGAGTCTCAGACCCAGGAGAAAAGACTGGGGTTTAAGCAAAAGATGTTCGTCAGCATGGCCAGCAGGATCAGAGTTCTCATTTTCAGATTTTGAGAACTGGCCCCTGCAGCAGCCTGGCTCAGTACCTATCAATAATACATGACCTGGGCCTTCTGCACCCAAGGCCTGCTAATTGGCTAATTAAAAAGAGAAACGTGTCGAACGAGCAAACATGTAGCCCACCAGAGACTTGTTCAGTACTGGAGCCAAGGTCAAAGTTATGTTAAAGCTATTTGATCAAACTGACCTTTGTTGTAAGTTGGCTGTGGAGGTATCTCTGGAGCAGCCCTATCTTCTTGGTGTCTTTGGGTTTCAGCTGTGTTTGGACTTGACAAGTGCTTGGTGCGTCATCCCTGTATTAGTTTCCCACTGCTGCTGTAACAAATTACCAAAAACTTAGCTAACAACACATTTATTATCTTACCGTTCTATGAGTTAGAAGTCCAAAATCATTCTCTCCAGGCTAATAGCGAGGGGTTGGCAGGGCTATATTCCTTTCTTCAGGTTCTAGGGAAGAATCTGTTTTCTTGCCCTTTCCAGCTTCTAGAGGTCGCCCTCGGCTGGGGGACCTCTAGCTCCATATTCAGAGCCAGTAAGGTAACATCTCTCTGACTCCACTTCCTTCTTTCACTTTTAAGGATCCTGTGATCATATTGGATCCACCTGGATTAGGTAATCCAAGCTATCTCCCTATTTTAAGGTCAGCTAATTAGCAAGCTTAATTCCATTTATGACCTTAATTCTGCTTTGCCATGTAATCTAACGTATTCACAATATCTGGAGATTAAGATGTGGACATTCTTGCACCGTTCTTCTGTCTACAAGAATCACCTTTCAGGTATCTTCGAGGTGCTGGGTTTTCAAAGCTTCTGGAAACTGTAAAGTCACCCAGTTGCTTGGTTCGTGCAGCTGCTCCATTAGGTCTGTAGATTAAATTGCTTTTTTCGGCCCAAACTTAAGCACCGCCATTTGGATCTAAGGAGAGTGGAGCTCTGGCAGTGGACAGTAAACAAGTGGATGGAGCCAACACTAATTATAGGTTTTTGTCAGCGAAGACTAACAGCTTTGGGGCCCGAAGTCTGACTGGTTGCCAGACAGCTAACTGTGTGATCTGGGGCACATCATCTATCCTCTTAGTGTTTTAGTATCTCAGGTAAATGGCCATTTTCCCTAACCCTTAGAATGCTGGGTTATGAATGTTCAGGTTCAGAAGTCTTCTGATGAAAGTTTTGAAGAGTGACCTTTTCATTTTGAAAATGAACCCTCCGGAATTGGCAATGGGGTGACGATCTTTGGATCTTGGGTACGTGGGGTTTGTTATACTATTATATTTTTTAATTCTGTTTAAAATTCTCCATATTAAAAAGATAATAAACATGAACCTTTCTAAGACCAAGCAGATTTCTCATGAATGCTTTCAGATAACCTAGCATAGGATTCCAGAACATAACAGAACTCATCCTGGGTGTTCAAAGTATTTATGAACCTCCCAAATCAAGCCATACGTTTCCTGTACTTCATTAATCCTTTATCTTGTATTTCCAGCTGAGGAAGTTAAGAAAAGGATCTTTCTTAACCATTTACAGTGGAGACTCGGAGCGGGTTGTTACGGGAAGCTACAAATATGAACAGACCCTGGGCCCATTCATCAGAGATTTCAGATGAGCACAGCCAGGGTGCTGAAGTGATAGTAATTTCATTTTTGATGTTTCTTTCTCCAGATTGTGGATGCCTTTTTCATTGGCCGCTACGTCCTGCTGGTTTTCCTTGCTGCTGCCTTCCTTGGAGGTCTCTTTTTGGTTCTAATTCATCATATCCTGGAGCCAATCTATGCCAAACCACTGAGGTCCTAGTGAGCACTGTTCGTAAAAACCAAGACCCTGTTCTCCCCCTCACTTTGAGGGCATCGATGAGCAGAAAGGCACTGTTTGGAGCCTTGTTTTGACAGCTCCGTGCCTTACGATCAGGGGATTATCCATTCATCGCTAAGATAAATGCCTTGAGTCCTGGTTTCCAGACACAGGCTTGCAAAATTGTCTCTTCGGTGATAGAGTTTCACTGGTGTAAGAGGGACATTGCTCTTCCTAGCACCTGTACCTCAGGTTTTCCATCTGTTTTGTAAAGAAAATAGTAAGAGAGAGAACTGGTGACTTTGGGGAGTCATGAGCCGATGAGGGCCAGGTGCAATTCATTCCTTACCCCTGAACTGTCTATGTCTTATTCAGTTTGAAATAGTAACAGTGGTCTGCATTGAACAGATTTTCAATCAAGACATCAGTAAAGTAGATTTGAGGAAAAGAGGCACTTGGCTTCTGCTATCCAGTAAATGAAAGAATTTGGTCCTTTTGATAACATATAAAATTCTCGGTTATGAGGTTGGGATCATTTGGAAAGGAAACACACTCAAAGATCCAAAGGTTGTTTTAATGTGATGATTTCGAAGACTTACTCAGGTGTTGGTTATTGACCACTCTGCATATCATGCCACAGAACTCTCTGCAGGCAATGGCGTTGCGTCCCTCTGCTCTAATAAAGCGATTCACACCAACCTAATGGCTGGCTCTCACTTCAAACTTTTGGTCACAGCTTTCTGCGTCTAGTATTTCTGTATTTCAAGTTAACTTAGGTATTATAGGAAAGATGTGGAAGTATTGTTTGTTCTGCTGCTATAAATCTCTGGTTTCTTCCAGGATTTGGGGACCTTGGTGCCTTAATTACCATAAGAATCCATTTGGATTATTGTCATCTATTTCATCTTTGTAGCCCTTTCCCCAAAGCTGGTGGGGAATGTATATTCCCAGGATTAGATATAACTTTATACCTGCCTGAGATCCCAGGTCAAGTAAAATCTGTCACTAAATGGAGGAGTCGAGCCAGTTCTACTTTAGCAGTCTCATCCTGACTCCCTAGAGCTTTTTGAAAAAGGATTTTCCCGCTTAAAATTAAGAACCAGAAAAAAGTCGGAAGGAGAACTTTGATTGAGTACATGCTATATACCTGCAGTACAGTAGTTCCTTTGAAATAGGATTTACTTAATTTTACAACAATCTATTTATTATCATTCCCATCTTAAAGTAGAAAAAAATTAACTCTTAAAAGAGATGAACTAACTTGCCCAAGCTTCCCATAACGGCCAGCGTGCAGACCCAGGGATGGCAGACTCCAGGACCGGTCTTGAACTAAAAAGAAAACACATCGAGCTTTGTGGAATTTTGATTGAGAGCATGAGGAAGTCAGGGCCACTTCTCTGCTTCCTCTCCCGGATCCTGTTGTCATAGGAAGGTAAGGGTCCTGCCACCCCAGCGGGGATTAAGCTCTAAACTAAAAGTGGAGAAAACAGGTGGCTTTGGGGAGTCACAGGCCAATGAGGGCCAGGTGCAGTTATCCTCACCCCCGAACTGTCTCTGTCTTATTCAGTTTGGAAAAACTCTGCAGATAAGGCTTTGTCAGAGAAAGCTTCGAAGGAAATAGTTTCTCAATCTGGCCTAGGGCCCTCGGGTAAGAAAAGCAAGCAGAAACATCCCCTACCCCCAGCGGACTGGAGGGAAAAAGGAGAATGTGGAAATATCGAGGCAAGCAGGAGAGTGATACTGTTGCCCCTCTCTGGGCACCGGCACCGAAGCCCCCAGATTCTGTCAAGTTTCTGCGGAGATGCTGAGCCAGCCCAGTGCAGAATGACTCTAACAACGCACAGGCTGCCACTCGTCACCTTCTCCTGAGAGACTTGCTGAAAAAGCAAATCTGGGAAAACTCTTGTAGGTTCCTGACCATGAGTCCATCTTTTTTATTCCCCAACAAAAGTGTCTAACTATTAGATTGATGTATAATGGCCATGAAGTTTTGAGTGACTCCTTAAGTAGAGAAAAATGTGTGAAGGTTGGAAACTAAATTCCTCACCAAATTCCAATTTTTGTTGTTGATGGTGTTGTTTTCACAGATGTAAATGACAGGCTTGTGTGTTATGGGCAAAAATCATACTTAGCACCAAGTGTACTTTAGTTCAGCCTGCCTTCCATAGATCCTGTCCATAACTACCAGCTGTGGTGAAATGAATGATAAATTACTTTCTACTTTCATACTCAAAGTAGTCATATCCAACTGCCCCCAAAACCCCACAGTGTTGGGATAAATACAAGGCCGAAATGGCAGAAAATGAATTTCACTGAGTTCTACGTGGGCACCCCTATAACCAGTGTCTGATACGGCACCCCTTTTGCGTGTGGCCTTCCTGGAGGTTGTCCTTTAAATAGAAACAAATTATCTAGTGTCTCATTCATTCTTTGATCGTGCTGTACTGTTCTCTAATCCAGAGAGATCCTGTGGCAGTGGTGATCCCCACTCTTTAGAAAATAGAGTAAATCAGGGCTTCTACATCAGAAAATAAGCTATATTTCATACCCTTTTAAAACCGTATCCCGAAGAAAGCTAAATTAGCAGGACACCACCCTCCCCCAACAGTGCAGACATTTGTCCTATCCACTAGGTGACGCTGTATGCTATATTTTAGAAGTCTCCAGCCAAGAAAACGTACTAGGTAATTTTTTGACAAGTTCCTTAAATTTCTGACTTACAAAAATGAAAATAAAGCTAATATTCTCTACTGATGCACAATATCAGATATTTAAAAATTCATCAAAATTATTGTACCAATGTCCAGTTACTAGCCATTCACTCCTGCTACATACACTGGCATTGCTATTTTTAACAGTTCTCACTGCTATTGGGTATAAAGCATTGGTCCTGTGGAGTGAGCCAGTCCGAGGACTAGACTCTGAGGTTTCTAGGCTGTCTTCCTAACTCCATCCCGGGATGAAAGCATCCGAATGACTTCTACATGTTTTTATTCTAACATGAATCCATTTCTTGTCCTGCTCTCTAAGACATAAACTTTTTTTTTAATCAACTCTATCTCATTGCCACTGCAGTGGAAGAGTTTTTGTTTTACTTTGATTTTAATTCAACGTGTAAAGGAACCTGCTGCAATTATTTGACAGATGAGAAACAGGCAGAGATGAAGGGATTTTACAAGTTTCACAGGTAGTTAGAGGGGCTCAAACTTGACACCAGGGTTCCTGATAGCTCATTTTTCGGATAGTTTAAAGATCATTTTTAAATGATCCTTATTTTCACATTGGTTAATACTATTTCTTAATTATTTGTACCCACCATGTCCCTAACCCATATTCAAAAAAAGGTAAAAGTTTCATTAAAGAATTCCCAAGTACAGTACAAATAACAAACCTTTTATCATAACTTCTTGGCTTAGACCTTTAAGTATTTGGCGGTTGTTCTGTAGAAGCAAGTTTCCAGATGTGGGAACCGGAACCACATGAGAATGAATCTAGAGAAGTGCTGATTACCTTCACAGGGGCATAAAACGCAGGACTGAAGGGGGTTTACAGTTCACAGAGTTCAACTTTTGATCTGTTTCCATCCCAAAACTTGGGAATATTCCGTTCTTCACATGCCGAAGTCACAGTTTTTATTATATTCAACGAACGTGCTACACATTTTTTCTAACTGTTCTATAAGTATTCTGTAATCCTCATAGCAACCCCGTGAAGTAGGTACCCTTAATATCCCCATTTCACAGGTGGGGAACAGGCGCAGAGTGGTGAGGTGATCTGCTTGAGGTCACTCCGCAAGGGGTTAAGTAGGAGTCGAGATCTGAAGTCAGGCAGTTTGGCTCCAGTCTAAACTCTTAATGACTATATACCACGTTGCTCCACAAAATGAAAACGAAGAAAAAGGAGGGAACAAGCTCAGGTGATTCAAATCCAGTTGATAGAAATACTGAGGAGAAGCAGCTGAGTCTAATGGAAAATCTCGACTCTTAGAGACTGGCCAGGAAACCAAGCAAAAACAGTTAAATGCCATGTGGGATCTCAGAGACAACTTCACTGATAAACTATTGCTCTGTTGGACTTTGTTTTCTCCTTGCTTAGCAATACTAACCAATGGGGCAGCTCCTAAATTGTGTTTTCGAGAAAGACTTACACAGCAGTCTCTCCTAAGCACTGTCCACCTGGATAGTTTGATACTTGGGTTGGTTTTCAGAGGTGCCCGTGGAAGAATCAAAGCCATGAGCCAAGAATGTTTGTTTCTCGATCTCTGTCTCTAGCAGATCATGGCGGTTGCTGTTAACTCAAGGAAAAAAGTGTTTCCAAGTCCCCGCACTCTCACCCCGCTCCAGCACGCACCTTTGTCTCGGTTTCCTAGGACCTAAGAAATGACAGCAGGGATCGAAAGCAGGGCCCAGCACCACGGACAGAATGAGAAAGTTTATTTTTCTGGTTTTCGTTATCCTGTTGGGTATCGTAAAGGATGTGCCCTTAGCCCAGGCCCTGCCCTCCGAGAACTCTCGGGATAGTGACCCGTGTAGCATGTATGCGGTACCTGAACACTACCCGGACATCTCTCCAGTTTTTTTTAATCTTTGGGGATTTCTTCGGTTTTCCTGTCTTCAAATTGACGTTGTTCCAGTTTTACACTGAAGACGTAGAATAGTTTCCTATTGCTGCTGTAACAGATGACCACAAACCTAGTGGTTTAGAACAGGGGTCCCCAACCCCTGGGCCGCAGACCCATACGGGTCCGTGGCCTGTTAGGAACTGGGTTGCATGGCAGAAGGTAAGCGGCGAGCCAGCAAGCGAAGCTTCGTCTGTATTTGCAGCCGCTCCCCAGCGCCAGCATCAACCCCTCAGCTCCACCTCAGCTCATCAGGCATTAGATTCTCACAGGAGCACCGGTCCCTGGTGCCAAAAAGGTTGGGGACCGCTGGTTTAGAACAATACAAAGTTATCTGACAGTTCTGGAGTGCGATGGCATCGGGCCCACCCCGATAATCCAGGGTAGGCAGCCTCCCCACCTCACAGTCTTTGATCACATCCGCAGTCTCATTTGCCATGTAAGATAATATAGTCACTGGTTCTGGCAATCAGTAGATGACCTCTCGGGGGAGAGGGCATCGTTCTGCCTACCACAGAGAAGATGGCCCCGTCTTCCGTTTCTAAGGATTGCCCACCTCCACCCTCCATCTTCCATCCGCTCCTTACCCCCATTCCTTAATATTCAAGGCCCGCCCCTTTATCTCTAGTACCCCTCTCCAGTTCTCCGGGCTCGCACCCCAACCCCATGGTGTATTAAGAATTTCCTCCCCCCGACTTCAGTTTTAGTGTGCTAAGATCTCGGAGTGCTAAGATCTACCGAGAGCTGCTTTCCCTTTCCATTGCTGCTTTCCTCCCCCTGCTCCCTCACTAGCCCAGCCTCCCCATGGATCGCTAAAGGAGAAATGCAAAGAGTTATTGCTTTTTAATTACAAGTGCTATTGTAACATCTATAAGGAAGAACACTTTAAGCTTAATTGAGACCAAATGTGAAGTTAAATTAAATGAATAACTAATTAATGTAATGCTCTTGCATTAGCCCCGAGTGAGTGCTGAGGCCCAGAGAGAAGGCAGGTACCAGGCCTCCGGGGAAGAGTCAGTGCCCAGAGCTGAGGTGGGGCCAGGACGCTGGGACCTGGGAGACAAGTGTGGAAGGTTGGATCTCGGGACTGGGGTTCCCCAACCTTTGGTATTTCCCCGAAGTCCCACCTACAGCCCAAGTCCTCATTTCCGAGGCCAGGATCTGAGCTCCCGCGTGCCTTTTGTCTCTTCCTAGTGCCACACTAATCTGCTGGCATGAGCAGGTGTGTCCTGCTCATTTCACGGTCCCTATGCCTGTCACATTAGGGCTTGATAAGTACTCATTTTAACTTCGTTCCTCTTCTACTTCCCCTCGCTACCTTAGCAACCTAATTGCCCAGGTCCATTCATTCTTACTTCATAAGCCTTTCACATCTATTCCTCCCACTGCCATTGGGATGGCCCTCCTGCCATCCCTTCAGGGCTGGACTAGTGGACGGCAAAGTCTAACTAGAGTCACTACCCTTGGTGTTTTTACTCGTGTCGTTTACAAACGTTTTCACGTTCTTATGCCCACTAGACAAACTCCTCGAGGGCGGGGCGCAGTTTCTACCTATTTGTCTCCTTTCACACAGGTAATGCTATTACTATTTTCTAGATGAGGAAACAGGCTTAAAGCTAGTAAGTAGTGAGGCTGTGGGAGAGAAGACCTCGAAAGTGCCAGAGAGGAACAGTATCCCGCCCCCCTCCTACCCGGACCTGTCTGCAGCGAAAAGAAAGCTGACAGTTGGCAAGTGAAAAAACCTCGGCTCCTCTGTCCTCCTGAGGGACTGCAGAAGGGAGCCCAAGCTCACGTAGGGCTCTACCATGGGGTTATGGCACCATCTAGCGGCTCCCCTGAGGGATGATGTCAGACAAGACTTTCTCGTCTTGAAAAAAGCATTCCTGAATCCTGAGCCTAAAGCCTAACATTCTGGCTGCCTCCTGCCTTGTGGGGACCTGAGGACCAGAGCTCTCTGACTGGCTCCTGCTCTCAGAGCCAGAGTATCCGGCACTTGGAGACTTAGGTATGTGTCACCACTGGGGCAGGTACAACCTATTTCAGCGCTGAGGAGTTGGCATGCAGCTAATGCGCTGGCCCACGCAGCATCTAGATAATACAACGGTTACATCTTACGTGGGGCTCTAAGCTCTCGGTTTGCCCCACTGCCATCAGTGTGATCAGTGTTGTCATAAACATCTCCTTTGGGAGTGACCAGTGTGACCAGCACATGACGTGGAGGTCCTGGGACACTGCCCCCGACAACCCCTGGGAGCCCTAATGAGGACTAGCACAGCCTCAGCCAGCAAAAGAAATTTCTTGGTGCTGACAGGTGGTTTCAGAAGGCAGACAGATATGCCAAGAGCTAGCTGGCTTGGAGCACTCCAGGATTTGACGTGGGCAGACCAGTACATCAGGAACTCAAGGGAGAAAAGGCCACTGCAGAGAGCGCCAGGAAGTCACAAGTGTAAAAGCTCCTGAAGGAACCAGTCTTGTCACCCTGGCACCTGCGCTCAGGACATAAGTCCTTTTTTGTGTCCGCTGTCTACTCCATTCCTTGAGTAGAGCTATCATCCAGTGAGCGCTCAATAACCACTGGCACTTCTTTATCCAAACACTGATATTTTGTACATTCGAAACCTATATAATTTTATTAACCAATATCACCCCCCAATAAATTTAATTTAAAAAAAAAAAACACTGGTATTTTTATCAAAACACACACTGGCATTTTCGGTCATGGCCTCCATGCCCCCTCTGCCCCCACAATACTGTCCTCGCATATCATCTTCCACTCAGGACACAGAGGGCTCGGACAAGGTTGAGGCAGGGGAGGCCCTCACTCTCAGGAGCAGCGCAGGCCCCAGCTCAAGGGTGAGACTTCCTTCCCTCACCTTAGTCCCAGCCCTGGAGATTATAGCAATAATACTTTAATCTAAATGGGTCAGGCGTCAGAAACAGGATCATACGGAGAGAAAAAAGCCTTGTGGTCAAAGGGACGAAGAAAGCCTGGGCAGCACCTTACGTAGGGTCAGAATCCCACTGGTAGGTACAGGCTGATTACAGAGGTTCAGATTTCACACGGGAAGGAGGGCTGCGCCTTTTCTGGCCTTGGTCCTGTGGAGCCTCTGCCTTCTGTCCTGGAATCCGGACTAGCAGGAGTCTCCACAGATCTTTCCCTCAGCAAAATGGAGACACCGTTCAGCCCTGACCCCATCCCTTCCGCCTGGCGGTCCGCTTCCCATGGAGACTCTGCCCCTGTCCCTTAGCGTTCCTGCGGGCTGGTGTTAGGTCCGGAGGCTTTGCCTCAGCAGTCTGCGGCAGTTTTAATTGTCTTGCCCGGGGGAATACTTTGGGACCCACGGGGGCCCTCCACGCTTCTCTTCCAATGGAGGCCTCAGATTTCTTTATACCTGCATGAGAAGCAGAGAGGAGAAGGAAGAGAGAGTGAGTCTCGGGTTAATAAGCTCCTGCCCCAGGGAAGGCGGGTTTCTAGGGTCCCTTAATAACTGCCTTTCATCCCTGCTCTCTATAGTCTGGGCTCCTCCTCACCTCTTCAGCAAGGAATAGAGAGCCAGATTAAATGTTAAAACTTAATATTTTTTTTTTACCGCATTTGACAGCTTTACAAAGCAATATCACATAGTCTATCTCATCTCAGCCTCAGATCAACCCTGTCAGGTATTTAGGGGTAAGTGGCTCCATTTTACACATAAGGATGCAGAAGTTCAGAGACTATGCCCAAGGTCTTATAGATAAAGGTGAGCAGAGAAGTCAGGACTGTCCAGGGATTTCTGGTTCCAAGCCCAGTGCTCCCTCTGCCCTTGCCAGTTACTCTGCTCCCCATGTAGGGGCCTTTCAGAGAAGGACCAAACCCTGCACACCAGGGACTAGCTGAAGCCTTAGGCATGTCCCGCAGGTCCTGAGCCTCCGTTCTCTCTTCTAAATGAGCATATCTATTGGTGGCTGAGTGGTAACCTAATACAGCTGAAGTCAGGCTTATTCTAAGCACAGAGCAGATGTTTTCTAAGTGTTCATCTTTCTCTCTTTCCGCTTCCTCCACTCCCCTCTCCCAGCCCCACAATCTCCCCTTGGGCCTGGCCCAGGGAAGGCAGGTGGAAGGACACCAGTCAGTGGTCCAATCCCCCTGCTCCCCCAGGGCAGGGCAGGATAGTCTATTAACCCTCCCCCTTTCAGTTTTTCTCCCCTCAACCTGGACAACCCCTCCTTAAAGGGAAGTGCTTCCCCAAAGAGTGTGCTAGTTACCATGACCCTACAGTTACCATCCAGACCAGGTCCGCAGCTCTGCCAGCTCCTCGTGAGCAAGAGCCTCCTGCTCAGAAGGAGAACCAGAAAGCACGAGCACGTAGCCTAGCCTGTTGCCAGCTTGGCCTTAGCCACCAACCCATCTGTGCAGCTTCCACACCCACCACCACTGGGCAACAGAGAGCACACCAGCCAGCCATGGACATCGATTCAATTTTGGCCCAGAGGCTTTGATTGATAGTAGCTTCTTTCTGTACATCCCAAGCAGAGGGGCCCAATGACCTTGGTTTCTCATCTTTAGGAGCACCTGCAGCTCAGAGTCTGAGTTCAGAGGGGAAACTATACCCCTGGACTCCGCCTCCTCTGTCCTGGGGGTACGCCCGAAGCCCCACTGCTCTCCCTGAGGAAAAGGGGTTGCCAACCTTGGTGGCAGCTCAGGCCTCTCAGAAACACTTTCCAAGCACCATGCTCTGCTTGGGTCGACAGTCTTTGGAACTGGCCACCAAGAAGAAAAAGAAAGTTGGAAAAATCACCCTGAAGGAGAGAGGATTGGCATGCAGGTCCCGCTCTGATGGCACATCAGTCACGGATTTGAAGAAAATACTCACAAAGTCACGGGACTCGAGGAAAATACTACCGCGTGTGGGCTAAGGCCAGACAAGAGCTACGGAGACACATGGGACAACAGGGGGCAGGTTAGCCGTGCTGGGGCAGGGCGAGCGTTCACGGAGCACACGAGTCCCTGAAGACCAGGTTGGAGCTGGGCTGAAACTGGGTGCAGAGCACCTGACCGTGGGTTTTGAAGTGAGGCGAGAGGTGAGGCTCTAGCTCTCTGGAGGACTCACCCTGTGTCTTTGCTCAGGGACGACTTCCAAGCCATGATCTCTTTGTACACCAACCGGCAGAGGAGCTGTGGGGAGTTTGGGGCACAGAGGGAAGGGAGGAAAACATTATTAACCTGGAGCATGTGGTTAGTCCCTAGTAAGGGTGACTACTGGGCTGGAAGTGGGGAAAGGGCTGGGCACACAGCATTATTCACCATGGGAGGTGAAGTGGTTCTGAGCAAAGGGCTGCTGTCCCAGGGCACCTAATGGACAATGCTTTGGACGTCCAGAGTTCTAGCCAGCAAGACAGCACAATAGGTTACACAATATCCATCTGTGTAACCTAAGAATTCTTACCAGGCAGGCCAGGACGTCAGCAGAGATGAGCATGTAAAAGACATTGTTCCAGCCTGTAGGGGAAATGAGCCCGGCCAGCAGAGGCCCCAGAGCTGCACCTGTGTGGAGCACAGAGTCAGAGCAGGTCACCTGCCAAGGGGCCCCGGACCCCCGCCGATGTGACGGCAGCAGTCCAAGGACTGTGCCCAAGACAAGGCTCAGTGTTCAGCAGCCAGGAACCAAAAGCTAGTCACAGACCTATGGACCCGGTGCCGTCGATGATGGCCGTGACGGTAGACAGTGCCTTTGCATTGCCCTTCAGGCTCTTGTGAGTCCCCTGAGGAGAGAGAGCAGAGTGAGCACCCAGACCAAGAGGCAGCACCGAGCTCTGGGACAGGGGAGGGGCTGACTATGGGAAAGGCGGTGTCGGGGCTCGAAATTGAGAGGAAAGGGGGGTCAATGGTGGATTCCGAAGGACTTTGAGGACCTCGTCTCTGCAGACCAAGGGAAGGGAAATGGACCTGTCCAAGCCCCCAAAGGGACCCCTGGGCTCCAGGGAGGTGGCCTCACTTACCAAGTCAGCTGAGACAGCAGTGGTGATGAGCGCATAAGGGCCATTGACCAGGGCCCCACAGACAATCAGCATTGCTGAGGCAGTAAGAGAGACAGGCCTGTTAGAGATGAGGGAACACGAGCTGCCCCAGCCCCAAGGCAGGGGAGACCCACCCGCTTGGTGTCAGGCTAACAACGCCCACGTCCCTGTGCCTCCACCCGTGCCTTTCCTGTGGCCTGGCAGGACCTGCAAACATCTCCTCACCTATGGAGCTGACAATCCCATTCTGGCCGAAGTGGTTGTACAGGAATAGCTGAGAGAGAAGGGGAGAGGTAGAGTCACACCCTGGCTTCCCACGGGCCACCACTGTCAGACCGGAGCCCAGACGTCTGGAACAACCCTCTCCTGCCCTGGAACCCCACAGGTCACCTTACTCCTTTCCCTTCTCACATCCAGACCTCTCAGTCTCTAACTGTCCTAGGGATGGGGGTGTCTAAGATGTGGTAATTTATTCTTTCCCTTTTCCCCAACTCCTAGTCTTTCCTTGGGCAAGAAGTTTATCAACCGGTGACCAAATAGTCACTAATCCTTTTCTGAAACTCTCAGTCTGGGTCTCTTTTCTGTGCCGACCCTGGCCTCTCCTCCCTGAGCTGCGCACGGCGATGTACCCACACGCGGAGACAGACGTGTGCATAAGTGCCCAGGTGTGCATATGCACACGCACTTTGCCCTGAGGTTATACACACCATGGGGGCGGCCAAGATCAGCATGACGCAGCAGGTGGTGGCCCTGCCATTGGTGTAGTCAGAGATGAGGCCCGCCAGGATGCCGCCTGGAACACAAACCAACTCACCCACTGCTGCCCCAGGCACGACCACAGCCCCCCATCCACATGGTACCCCAAGTTTGGCCCCATCACTCTGCCCACCACTGGCCTGGGCCTGGGCATCTAGACTCAGCAGAGCATCTTCCACCGAAGCCCTCCGTGTACCTACTGTTTACAGGAAGACTAAATACGAGGGCCATCTTTCTTAGGGCCACCCAGCTGGTCAAGAGCCCTTTTTCCTCTGATGCTACTGGCCCAGGTCACGCTCCACCACTAGAGAAAAGTGCAGCCTAGAGGCAGAGCAGGGAAGGGCCTCACCTATGATGCCACCAACATCAAAGAGTGTAGACAAGTCCCCAGCTTCCTGGGCATTAAAGTGAGCTGTGGAAAACACAAATATGTGGTAAGACTTGAGGGCTCAGGGCCAACATTCTGGAGTGCCACAGCCAGAAAAAGCAGAGCACCTGATCCGGGCCCACTGCCTCATTTTTCAGAGGAAGTACCGAGGACCTGCGGGAGGTGACTGGGCAGGGTCACAGGTGAGTCTGCAACAGTCTCTGACCAGATGGCTGCTCTGGCCCTCCGTTCTGTGCTGCCTTCTCCCCCTGCACGATGGCCTTGACCTCTCAGAATAGCCCTCCCTTGAAAGCACTGGGATCTGGCCCAAAAGCCCTGTCCCACTAGGCTATGTTCCCCAGGGACACAACTGCTCTCACTGAGCCTCAGCCCAAGCAGCCAGTTCCTACTCTGCCCCTGACAGAGTAGCAGGCACCCCAAGGGTCTTCACATCCACTTGAGGTCTCTGCTAATCAACAGAGCCAGGAAAGAGACTCAGAGAAAAATGAGGACTTCGGGTTCCGGGCCCTGCCCTAGGATTCGAAAAAGACTATCCAGAAGCTTGAATTGTAGCCCAACCCTCAAGGTTGACTCATATTCTAAAGTCAGCGCCAAGACCACAGAAGGGTCCCCGTGTTCACGAAGCTCCCCCTCTATCTTTGAGAGAGGTTTCAGATAGAGCCGAGGGGCAAGTTACAGCATGAAATCTGGCCCTGACTAATTCCCATGCTATCCTGTTCAGAGCAAGTATATTGGCCCTCCCACGGGGCTTGGAGGAAGCAGCACAGCCTGGGTCAGGGGCATTGGCCCGGAGGAAGCAGCGCAACCTGGGTCAGGGGCCTCAGCCCAGAGGGAGCAGCGCAGCCTGGGTCAGGGGCCTGGGCTCTGATGGAGCTCTGAGACTCAGGGGCTAGGGCAGGCGGCTGCTCCCTGAGAGAGTAGCCACCAGGCCTATGAAATAGCAGATAGCAGAGACTCAGGCCAGGTAGACATAAACATCCTTTTCAACCACAAAAGTGACCTCTCCTCATCTGTCCCTCCTTGGACAGGGGCAGGGGCAGGGAGAGTAGGCCCCTGAGATGGGCAATGCAGCTGACTCAGCACAGGGCAGAATCCCATGAGGCTCCTGGCAGCCTCTTGGGAAAGAAGAACAGTGTTCACCACCAGGCTACAAGCATTGGGGGTGGTTCACCAGGCCTCTTCCTTGGTTTGGAGGAGGCTCAAGGGACTCCAGGAGGCATTCAAAAGGCAGACTTTTTCTAGCACCCACCAGTCCCACCTATCTATGAGCCGAGCAGGCTGGAAGTGCGTTTCTCTTACACTCAAGGCTGGAGAAGTTAGGGAAGATCACAGAACAGAGCTTGGAGTTCCTCACCCCCAACTCAGTTCCAGGGGAGGAAAGGTGGCTGGAATCAGAGTCTCGGGGCTAGTATAAAAGGTTCATCTTCCCACCAAAAAAAATATATATATATCCTTTTGCCCT